GTTGGGGATTGAGATCATTTTCTTGATATGTCCACATGATCATTGCTTAAAGAATTTACTTAGAAGCTAGAAATGTATAAAAGATCGGAAAAAAAAAATAGTAATGGAAAGGTTTATGTGGAAAACTCTCAAATTGAAGAAAATCACAAACCGCCAAAGATCGAGGTTTCCACTGCATAAAAACACTTGTACAATTACATAGATATCTCACACACCTCAAAACCTGCAAGCACAACCTAACATTGGACCGGGTGAGACAACAAATTAAGCATCATTCAAGATAGTCCATGACCATTTTAAATTTGGTACAAACAAATACTAAGAGGAAGACTCTATTTTTAGGAATACAAAAGAAGAGCCTTTTGATTTCTATTCAAAACTGAAGAATTCAAAATAGTCTTATTACATGAAAGAAATAAAAAAATATTCATTTGGATTCGACAAATACAATCCTATTTAATTTGGACAATATCAAATTAAAATCCCAACAAAACACTCCCTTTCATGGAAATTTTAAGCGAGAAGCCTCAGTCGAGAAACTAGATAATTCGATGAACATCAATCCATAGTATACGGTTTACAAATACAGCTAATAAGTGATCCTTAGATTTGATATCAACTAGGAATATTATGGGTAGATTGTTACACTTTGATGGTGTTGGATGTGACTCTTTCTAAGGATGACAAATACAACATTAATTTTGAGTGATGATGAGAAGCACATGAAGACTCATGAATGATCAAAAATGTATTTATTACTTTTAGATACTAAGAGATCTCCTGAAGTTCGTGAACTAAAGTTCTGATTCTTGAATGAGGCGGAGTTATGATTTGCAAAGAATTTCAAGTAAACCTAAATAAGTCAATTGCTTTAGTGACAAGAACGCAATTTGTGAAATGGGATTAACAATAATTTGGTATCTCGAGACATATTTAATGAAGGTACTTTTTTTTCAGTTAAGTGAACATTTAAGACCTTGTCATACCACATGACATATTTCGTCACATGAGTTATCTTGACAAATTGATAGATTTCAATATTGGACAAAAAAAAAATGCAGGTTAATTAATTGGTCAATTTAATAGATTTATCTTAATGTTATTCATCGTCATGATCGAGAACCTAATGAATTATCCATTAGAGTATTCAGATTTTTTAGCACAAAATTAAAGAACAAATTTAAGCCTATTTGTCCAGCCTCTAATTAGAAGGCAAAATTCCAACACTGAGAAAGCGTAAAGAAGTAAACTTTTAACTACATTTAAATTATCCTTGCTCAGTTATCACAAGATATATAGTTAGATGTTCAAGTACAATAACTGGTGTGTTCACGTGTAGATCACATGACTTCCAACGTGATAATCATATTGACAATTCTTACTTTCATGTGCACTTCTAAATTACACGACACTCGACATTTAACCGATTTTTTTTTCTTAATTAAATGTACCAAACCTTGGAAACAAATATATTGAATTATGGTATGGACCTTAGTACTTTTTCACATGGGAGAAAGGAAAGGAGGGGCGAGTTTCGATCAATACCTTATAATTGGTTTTCCATTGTGTTAGGATTTTATTTTTTATTTTCGTTTTGTAAACTTATCCATGTACAAAAAGGAGAATGTGTACAAAATTAGGTAGCAAAAAACAGGTATGAGCATCTGGTTTAGAGTTCCAAGAATTAAAATATGATATGGATTGTTAAATTAGTTTAATTTAGGATTCACATGCAATGTTTGGAGTCAATTAAGAAAATATTTTGAGAGTGGAAACAATAATTTTTTGGAGTTTTTCTTTGAGGGTGTGTAGTTTTTGACCTTTTTTATTGTATTTTTGCCGAATTAAATTTTATTTAAATTTTCTGGTTCGAGACAATTCGTCATCACATTAAAATTATATAGAGTGGAACCTCCATAAATTAATACCATTGGGACTAAGAAAATATATTAGTTCAACACATATTAATTAACCTTTTGACTAATAAGTTACTAACATATGAAGATATCCTTCTTCTTCTTCTTTTTTCCTTGAAAATATTGTGTCTAACATCCTTTTATTGTAATTAAATTAAATTTTTGTTTTAGAAACTAACTATATATTTTATTTAGACAAGTAAAATTCATGAATTTACAATTTCCAAAGTATGTATAAATTCCAAAAGTATAATATTACATTGTTCAATGTACACTATTGTTCTATTCAAGATCATGGATTTAGTTGCATATATAAGATCACAAAATTTTTTCAATGATATATTATTTTATAAACTTATCATATTATCAGTTTAACACATCGGTCAATGAAAAGTTATTATTTAATAGAGAAAACGATATGTCAAATTTTCTAGTCTATAGAAGAATAAAGCTTTTTTGCTGGAAAATGTTTGACACTTTGATTGACATACACTCACATGCGCATGAGACCTGCAATATTAGATAATGCCAAAAAAGTTGGTCGCCCCACCCTATTGTGAATGAAACCATCCCTGACAGCATAGCCTGATTGTGTATAGAAATTGGTATCTAGTCTAGGTCTTCAGAGAAAAATTAGAGGGTTGAATTAATAGTTAGACTCACATTAATTTCTACATGTAGTTGAAGAAATTAAGCAAAGAGACATTTAATTTCCGTGTTGAAATCTTAGGTGATGAGAAAAACCTTGCTTGGTCTATGGTGTGTTGATATATATGGATGATATTAATTACTACAATTTGATAAATTAATTATTAGTGGTTAATTTCTTACTTTGACTTGTTAAGATGATGTTTCATTTTTTGTTGGTCCAAGAGAATTCAATGCAGATTTTAATACATTTTAGTATGACTAATAGATTTAGGTGCATACGATGTACAAAAGTCTTTTGTAGTTAGCATTGAACAGAAGAATACACATCACAAAAGTTGATAACTTGAAAAGCATGACATTTGTAGTTAATTTTCTTGTTCTTGTACTAAACGATACAACATAATCGAATAGACATAAAATCAACATCTTAAAATTTAATGGCATATTTCAGAGTTCACATTTAACTTTACCGAATCAAGCAATTGACAAATTTTATTACATGTCCCTCCTTTGATTTTATTTAATTAAAACTAGTTCAACATATCAAATATGACCTAAGCCAAAAATAGTAAATAGATAAACAAATAAGAGCATGTTTGAGCCACATTATAATGAGAATGAGAATGAGAAATAGAGCCGTTATGGGCTCCACACCAGAGATAGAAATTCAAAAATGGTGGCTTGATGTGATGGATAACGGTCATATTTTTCATTTTAATGAAGTAAAAATGTGGCTCAAACAGAGGCTAAATAAGGTATCAATCATATTCTATAACCTTTGTCCACCCTCTCAAGAACCATTCAAGACCATTAGTCAATGAGTTAATGTGCACAAGTTTTATGTTTGTACTTGTTTTGCCTTACCAGTAGCCATGAATGAGTGGTTTCATATAGACTAATTTATGGTTGGACCACTCTCCAACGCGTACTTGGACGGTTGAACCATCATTGAACACTGAGTAAATGCACAATCACTAGATCCAAGTTAGTCACGGCGGAGCACCGTCCATTCTTGGTGGCGCTACCCTTATCTGGGTTCACGTTTACGGCGGTGGGATAAACATTGAAGTAGTTCGTGGTGTCGTGGAATAGTGAAACATTCACATATGCCCCTCATATCAAGAAAGGTATAAAATTGGACAAATGGACAATGTTTAATAATGCTTCAACATGTGATATATCTTTTCTTTACCATTTACCAATCTGAGACAACATTCAAATTGTAAATGCTTAGGAACATTTAGTACGCTAAATTAAGTCCAATGGTTGATTTAGCTAAAATAGCATATACAAATTTAAGTCGTGGATAACAACTAATTTTAACCATACTATTGATATAGTTTTTTGTTACTATTACCAGTCTTGTCGCTACTTGCTATATAAATCCCTTTTATACTATTCAACGAAAGCAAAAATCCCACAAAGATAGATTGAATTGGCGACCTATTTTTAAATTAGAGGCATAAGGAATTAAGAGTTTAATAGCACAGAATACAAGAAATACAAATGGGTCTAATTGAAGAACGACAATTTTTATTAATGTTTCAACTACACATTTCATCTATTTTTATCAAATATATTGAAAAATTTAATTTTTTAACCAAACCAACCATAGGCTAAATAAAAATTTGAATAACTAGTTAGGTAATTTAATTTGTAAGTTATTGCTATTAAAGTTTACATAGATTGGGAAGAGGTATTTTGTATTTTGTATTTTGACTATCGTTTCTAGATAAATGTTGTTAATATATTATTATTTGAATTCTCGGATTTCTATTTCTATTGAGCTCCACTTTAAAGAATTTTTACTTGTTTCTATTGCGAAACTTACAACTTCATAGTCTTAACAAAAGCAATACAAAAGCTAATAGATTTGATCTATTTGACGAATAATCCCTCATTATTCATAAAAGTTACTCAAAGAGTTTCTATCAAATCTCAATGAATTTTATAAATATTGAAAATATAGTATTAGTGTTAACTTTATCATCTCATTTTTTAGGGAAAAAAATATACTTTAAGTCACAATCCAAAAAGAAGATATTTAGAATAATTACAACACGAACACTTTGTTCCAAAAGTAGATCAATGGAAGAAAAAAAAAATCAAATTTCGATGCAAATAATTAAGAATAAAATTACTAAAAGTGGACTAATTGTACCATTAAGTAACTTAAAAGTTAAAAATTCAATCACAAATTTTGACTTTTTAAGACAAAAAAGACAAAAAGAAAACATTTAAGCAACGAATCAGTCACAGGCTCATCAGACCCACTAACTGACACGTGTCACACTTTTTGACGTGCACATGTAACTCTCACTAACCATCAGATCAGGTCAAATCCAACGGTCAATTAAAATCGAAAAAAAAAATAGAAAAATTAGGCACATGATCGTGTTGTACCGTAACTTCCATTAGTACCCCATTAGATGCCCCTTGTTAAAATCTGAACTGCCAGTTTCACTTCACTCAGCAGATTTCTTGAGGACAAATTTCTCCTGTTTTAAGCAAAGAAGCGATTCTTTTTCACTTTTATTTCAAGAAATCATACCATAAGTACTCGTTATTCTTCCTTTTTATTGAATAATCTTTGTGCGGTTCTTTTTCTTTTACGTTATTTTTGGTGTTTTTGTGAATGCTGAGGATTAGGTGAATGTTTTTGGTATTTTGGTTTATGGGTTTGATCTATGATTGATTGTACACTACGGAAGTCCTGACAGTTCAAAAATGGCGGGTGAAATTGAAGAGCCTTTCAGGCTTAATTTTCAGGTACCATTTTATGAATTTTTTGTTTTATTTGTCTTTTGAGGTTTTGGATCTGTTCATATGATGAAGTAATGATTTGATCTGTGTTTTGTTGGTGCATGATGAGTTTGTTGCCATGATTCTACTTTTTCTCATTTTGGCTTCTATTTTTTTTTATTTTTTATTTTATTTTTTTTTTAATTTTAATCTCGTATTGGTTTCAGATACTTTTTCCGGAAGATGTTATGCAATTTGAAATTTTGATTAAAAATGATTTAATGTGCACTGCAAGCTAATTTTGACATTAGATCAGGCTCTGATTCAATGTTGAACACAGTTTCTGATAGCTTAAAACTGTTAACATTCTTTCAGAAGCATGGAATGGGCACCCTGGAATTAAAATTATATGAGGTTGTGGTCATGAATAAACAATACAGTTTTGTTTGAGTTTCAGTTCTGGACATGATTGCGTAGTAGAATGGATAAGCCCTAAATCCATATCTATTCTGGAATGTTGTTGATAATGGAAATATCCTATTTCTTTCAGTTATTGATCACTACTATGTTTTAATGTTGCACTTAAACAATATAACTATATATTAGCATTGGAGGATGAAGTTCGTGCTTTAGATTAATAAGGTCTAAAACAATGTTTATTTATGATTGATGAGATGAGAAATCGTTACTCTGTTAAGTGTCAGATAGTTTTATGAAATCAAGAAGTAAATATCTAGTGTTTCCAGCAACATGAAATTGAGGCTTCGAAATTGGAAGCCGATAACAAATATAGAATCCTCTTCAATTGACTATAATGGTAAGCATAAAGCATGTTAACATTAATACCGAAGATCGTACTTTCTAGAGCAGTTTTCAATATTGTAGACATTTATAAAATTCGTTGCTTTCTGACATACGGGAGGGAATTTTCTTACTTGATTGAAATTTATTTTAAAGAGAGTGAACTCATCCAATCTAGCATAAGATATTAGGACTCCAAAGTGGCATCTTCATTGCTAATTTGCTATTATTATTCAAAGATCAGCTGAATTTTCACAAAGGCTTGTACCAGGTCTTGGAAAAAGAAGTTGAGTGTGTCTTCTGTGTTAAACTAATCAATAGTGTGCATGCAATTGCTGAAATCAATTCTAACTATTTGTGAACATGTAAACTGTTTGGCATTTTTTATGTCTCCTAATGAAAAATATATAATCCCATTTAGTATATTTTCCTGGACTTCTTACTTTTCACCTCTCAATATCTACTTTCTTGAAATGAACAGGCAGATACTCTACATTCTGGCTCTATCTCATTTGGAAGGTTTGAAACAGAAACTCTTTGTTGGGAGCGGAGGTCATCCTTCTCTCACAACAAATATTTGGAAGAGGTAGAAAAATACTCAAAACGGGGTTCAGTTACGGAAAAAAAGGCTTACTTTGAGGCTCATTTTAGAAAGAGGGGACTTCTGGGTCAGAGATCATCTGAGTGCCAGAATGGGACAGAATATCAATGCAGTGAAAACATCATCTCAGAAAACGCGGGTTATGATGAGCAACACAAGCACAAGGATGGGGCCAACTGTTCTGCACATTTTGATCAGAGTTCACACGGTTCAGTACATGACAGAGAGCATGAAATTCCTGAATCCAAATCTGAAAGAGGAGAGCTTGCTACATCATTTTATGAACTTAAGGTTGAATCTGCATCTGATACCAACAGTGCAGACTTTGTTACTGAACATGAAAAGACAGAAGAAGCAAATCACGCTGAATTTGGCAAGTTACTGCCAACCAATTCTTTCTCAGATGCTGAAATAGAACAGATTGTTCAGGAAGAAGGATCCAGTTTGGATACAAGGCATATGACGACAGCGGACATTGAATTGCATCCTATTAATCATGTTGCTGAGGTAAATATTGGTGCTAGACCAGAAAACCAACAAGGCCACTCAGGCCTGTATATTGAGGTGAGACTTTTATGAATAAAAAAAACCAATGAGGCCAGTATTTTCTCTTTTGATAGTTCGAAACTAGTTGTTGTGTTGATTTGATTCTGTAATGAATTTTTGGACTATGATATTGAGATGTTAGTTTCTAGATGCATTTGGTAATTAAGTTTACTTTCTTTGTTGTGTTTGGAGTTGTGTTCTCTTTCTTAAATAAGATCTTTGTGCCCATCGCATCTTTTCCTTGCTTTACATGGGCTACTATCTGGAATATAGGGGAGGATTGCATCGGAAATCAAACATGGGAAGCCAAGATCATCTCAAGTTAGTGTTGCACACAAGAAGAGAAGTATGATTAGTGAGGCTTATAAAGGTTCTGGAACAAAACCTAGAGTAAAAGTCAATGATACTCCAGTAAGATCCAAGGCAGAAAAGAAGACTTCACATGCGGTTACTCAGAACAAGTGTTCAATGCACCAATTGCCCAAATATGAGGTGATTTTTTACTTATGTGTATGCTATTCAAGTAATTAAATTTTCAAAGCCAAAGCAAGATCATTTTTTTGCTGTCTTTGTATAATTTGTAATTGTTTGCTGCTACTGTATCGTTTTGTCTAATCAGTATTCTTGGACTATTATGATGTTCGTATAATTGACTGGCTCTCCCTTTCCACAGGTTTTACCAGGTTCAAAGGCAAAAGTTTGCCCAGAGATAAAAAGGTAGTTATTTTCTCATTCTGGTAGTCCAGTGGAGCCAAATTTGTTTTTCTATCATGAATTGTAATACCAATGATCACCTCCTTCTGATTTAAGCACTAAGAAAGAATCAGGAATCCAGAAAGTTTCAGTGTCCCAGCCTTTGTCATTGAAGAAGACTGCCACTACTGCATGTCAAAGTGCAAACAGGTTTTTACAGGAAACAAAATTAGTAATTTACATTATATTTGTGCGATGAGTTTTTCTGATCTCATATATGTATAATGCTGCTTAGGCTCTCACAAGCCACACGTTTAACACCAGGCATGAGGCAGAGTGTCTCTGATTTCAATTCCAGAAGTGGTGAATGTGCAGAGAGAAGGAAACAGGCAAGAAAGCTCACTATTCCGGCAATTGAAACATGGTTATAAAACAACTACATCTCAAAGTCTGATAAAGTTCCTTTATATTTGTTTTAGTATCATATGAAGTTAGAAGGGAAAGCGCATGCAAGAGAGAATGAAATTGACCAACTTCAAGCAAAATTTCAGGCAACAATCTGTAGAAAATATTTTTAACTAGGAAATAATTTCCTTTTCTATTAACGTTCAAGATCAGGGCACATGGATGGATTACCTAACAACCATTTGGAAATTAGCGTTTGTTTCTCTTGGATATACTGATAATTATGTTAGTTTTTTTTCTAGGAGAGTAGAAATTGCATAAAAGAAATGTGTCATGCTGTTGTCCTATTAAATTTGTGTTGTTACGCGCCCACATCACTTTGTAGTTTGAAAAATGTTAAGTTGGCTTGCGTTTTGTTTTTATCAGGAAAAGGAGAGAGCAGAAATTAAAGAGATGAGAAGAAGCCTCAACTTCAAAGCCTCACCTATGCCTTCCTTCTATCATAGAACTGGGCAAGAGTCAGATAGTAGCAAGGTATATAAAAAAAAAAAATTTCTTTGTTCTTCTAATGCCTTAAGTAACGTTGAGACATCTCACATTAACCCTTTATAGTGCTATTGGATCAATATGTTTCGTGCATTTGACTGAATCCTTTTACTAAAATAATCATTCGATCTTCTTTATTGAGTTCTTGAGAAAATTTTGCTTTTTGGTTGTGATCATCATGGAATACTACCATAAATGGAATTTTTATATTTCTAAAGCCCATACTTGGATTTAGATCAAAATCGTTGCAAAATGTGCTTTCTCATATGGCCCTAATATTAATATTGAAGAAAAGATTACAAACCAGATGGAAGCAAAGTTCATTGTGGTTCCTTTAATTTTCGTCCAGAAACCATTTTTAAACCTTGAAACATGGCACCATATTGTTTTAGTTCAAGAAAGATCTTTGATCATTCGCACAGATTAAAAGATAGAATGACGTCACAAGAATGAACGAGTTTTTTGAAAAAGTAGAAATTGCACATAACTTGCTTAGAGGCCTTTGCTCGATGTGCTTCGTCCTATTCCCCCTGTCAAAGCCAAAACCTACTATCTTTGATATTGTATTATTTAAATCTTTTATCCATAGCATGATTTTGAATTGTCATGCTTCATGCTGTGCAATGTGCATTTCTTTGTGATTAATTCTTTCTTTTGATCAAGGTTTTTTGTCATACAAAAATAGCTAAAAACTGACAGGGAATCTTCAGATAGAACGAATTTCTAGTCTAAGTACAATTTGAATGTGGAACATTCGCTGCACATCACATTGCAGATGTTCCTTTTTGTTGATATTGTTTACTTGTCATAATTTCTTTAATATGCTCTTTACTCTTCGGCATTCGAATTACAATCTTTCCTTAGCTTTGCAAAGTACTTTCAAATAATTTACTAGAATCATCAGTTAGTGAAGAATTTGTTCCCTGAGATGCTTTGTATACAGGCCGTATCAAGTATCAATGAAACAAGCACACAAAGGACTAAATCTTCAAGTTCCAGTTTCAGAATTTCTGAAAGATCTTCATCAAGTTCAAGCAAAGGGACTAATCAAGCCCTTTCCATCAGCAAACCTCTAAAGTCGCCATTCGTCTCAGGAGCAACCAGCTGCCATTCAACAGTCACTTCTGATAGCAAACCATCATCTCCAGCATCTCTGGAAGGAGAAACGAGCAATAATCATCCAATACAAGCTGCAGAAAACAATACAGTAGGTAGGATGAAACAGCAAGAGAAAGAGAAGCATATAAACATTCGGAGCCATAAAGTGCCAAAAGGTAACAAGATTTATGAAGGTCCAAAAGTTGATGGGAAGCAGAAGCCCAAAAATGGGAGGCATAGCTGTACTTCAGTGTACGGTAGTTCAAGAACTGGTCGTCTGGCAGTTGGTGTTGCCACGTGAATGTGATTTCCTTCTCCGTACAAGCATGTTTCCTTGTGGTTGGCCCAGCATCAAACTGTATCCGTGTTCCTTTACGAGGTTGTACGATGCAATTTTTTATTACGGGAAGTTAGTTTTCCCCACTGAATAAGTTGTATGGGATGTAAAGTTTAGTTCGATAGTTATTAATAACTAAGCATATCGTTTGAGAACTCAAATGTTCGTCCTAAATTATCTTGAGACCGCAATGTGACACTGAATTAACTTAAGTTCATGAAATTATCAGATTACTACCTTATTTGGCTTTGCTCATTATCTGATGCAACAGTTGCCGAATTTTTAGACGGTGCGTTGAATTGTGGGGAACCTTGCGTCATTTTTGCTTCAGTTTTTGTTGAGTTTTCACTTAAAGGTTGGTAAGCAGTGACGTACAAATTTCTTGGCTGATGCTGATTCATCAAACGGACTTTCTAGCTCCAGCATAAGCAAAAATGTCTTATCGTTTAATGGACATGGCCTAGCAGAGTGCAAGTCGAGCGTCCAGTGTACATTAGGCCAAAAATGGGGATTGCACACGACCCATATGGGAAATGCAACACTCTTATTTCTTTACCACGCACGAATTTGACATCATAGAGTTCAAAATTATTTCAAGGAAAGATGTAAATTGGTGAAGAGCAATCAATTATATATGTTAATCATCAAGATGTATGTGTTGTATGAAAATACAAATAAATAATAAATAAAAATAATATTATTCTAAAAAAATTGGTCCCACATTTACCTACCCAATTAGAAAATTCCAGCAGTTAGGTGACGAGTCTTAGTTTTATACTCTCTGTCTTCTAATATGCATAATTCCATGTGGAAAGTGTAGCAAAGTTCTACTTTTCTACCATCTCTATCAATTTTTTCTTGTCATGTGCCTTTATTTGGTTTTCAAACATATTTTGACAATAACTGTGATCTAGAAATTTCACAACCCACTTCATATAATTTGGAACGGAGCGTTGGGGTCTCAATAATTTTGGTTGGTGCTCATCTGATAGATTTTAAGTGATAAATAAATTAAAAGAGAGAATACTTGCATCTATATAAAGATGTATATATACAAGAGACGCTAGCAATCTCCATAGAACTTGTTAAATTAAACAGATATAAATTAACCGACTGGTGGGAGCAAGAAGTTTGGGATATGTATGGTGTTTATTCTATCAATCATCTAGATTTACGCTGTATATCAACAGATTATGGTTTCAAGGGTCGATTCGGATGAGATCCAATATAGATCCAACTTTCGATTCACTCGTAAGAGTATGGGGTGTTATATTGGGAATGATCGGGATAGCTCAGTTGGTAGAGTGAAAATCCTCATAAGTATATATTTTAATTTAGCATAATTGTGACAAAAAATAAATAACAATTTTATAGAGAATAAATTTTCCACTTTTGTGCGACTTTTGTTAAGAGAGGGGGGGGGGGGGGGGGATGTTTGCACCGCTTTCATCGTATTTTTTCTCATGTTCTCCAAAGCAGTATTGATGAAATTCAATTTCATTTTTGTTCACATAGATTTTGATTGGAAATTTATAAGTTTTGGAACTTTGATTCATTACAGAAATGAGATAACTTTTTTAGGGAAAATTGTAACAGTGGTCCCTAACCTTTTCGTTTTTATCCTAATCTTCATTTTGTGCCAATGAAGGTCCCCAACCTTTCATAAATATGCACTTGAGGTCCATTTGAATGGAAACCGTCCAAAACACCGTCAATTGATCAGGAAAATTCCTTGAACTATCTCCTATCGCAACGGTTTTATTGAATGATGATATCTTTTTGGATAATGATTTTGGATGGTGTTTTGGATGATTTTATTGGATGTTGATTCCTTAATTTTTTCAGTCAATTGATAATGTTTTGGATGGTTTCAGTCCAGATGGACTTCGGGTACATATTTATGAGAGGTAAGGAACTTCCGTTGACACAAAATGAAGGCTAAAGACCGCTGCTGCAACCCCCCCCTCCCCTCCCTTCTTTTAATCAATTTTGAAATGAAGCAATTTTGATTGATGATGATACATGCACTTAACTCTGTATTATGTTAAATATATTTTATTCTTCTAAGCAATGTGCTCCCGTGTTCTCAATTAAAATTTTGTTTTTACATTCATTTTCAAACATTTCTTTAACATTCATATAGTGTGGGGATGAAGATTCTTCGTCATCCCAAGTATATATCAAGACGAAAAACACTTCCAATAATAATTTTCAGCATGTAACATTTTTCTTTATTTTTTTTTTCTCTCTCTAGCTACAATGTTCAATCCCTTGCTCAAATTAGGCACTATTCAACATTGCTTTCAGTTACTTCAAAATAATTTTAGTTTTACCTTTGAAATAAATATATCTTCACTATGAGAAAGAATTATAAAATTATGTAATTCGCAATATGATTCGAACTATACAAATTTAGCCCTTGTTTGAGCCCTATTCTTTAAGAAAAATGCATTTTTAAACAGTATTTTAATATCATTTCAATAACACATTTTTCAATAAAATAATATTACGCGTAAATTAAGAACTTTTTTTTTATTTTTTAACCACACATTTCTCATTAATACACTATTCAAAAATATATTTCCCCCCTAAAATGGGGCTCAAAAAAGGGCTTAGTGATTTTTTTTTCCTTCCCTGAATTTGAGATGTATGAAATCTATATGCTTCTAGCACCTGCATGAGACGAGATATTATTAGGGTTCGACTTCTCCAATTTACTTCAATGATAGAATGCAAAATGGTATCGGTACTTAGTGTAGGAGCTCTCTCAAAAGTAAGGTCTATATTGGAAAATTATATGATTGACCAAAATGCATCACATAGTTTGGACAATATTACAACCTGAATATAAAACCATATTTGTCAGCCCAGGTGACCCCAAGAGCGTAAAGGTGACCTTTTGGAATCGTTTCAGTTTTTGGTTTGATTTCTTTTTGTTCATTATTAAATTTATTTATTTTATTTTTGTACGAAAATTGCAAACGAAATTGATTTTTTATGCTAACCATTTGTTTACACTTTAGTGCGTAAAAATGAAATAGATTCTTACGAATTCGTTATAATGCAATTAAAAATGATTCGGGTTTTTTACAAAAGAATTAGTGGGGTGAGTAGAGCCGTTAATTTTAGAAACGAGCCAGCTCATGCTCAGCTTGTCCCATTTGTGAGTGTGTGCTAGTTCGCAAGGTGGGGCAAGCCTAGCAACTCAATTCAGCCTACTTGATACTCTTACTTGGAGGAGAAATATATTAATAAATTTTTTATTGGTATTGAAAATTGTTAAATTACCAATTATCTCATCTTGGATTCGACCGAAAATTGGGGTGAATTAGGTCGAGAATTGGACAAATATTTATAATAGATACATGTTTCTTTTGTTACATGTTTAGGCGTCTAGAATCTCAATAATTTTCTTGTTCATTTTTGTGGTTCGTAAAAAAACTTTGAATGTCGTGACTGTGATATAGTCTAGCTGAAATTCACCTACAATACTTGAGAGTTTGGATATTTGAGGAATTATTTATGATTGTGGCTTTGGAAAATTTTATCTTTGATAGTCCAAATGTTTATCCTTTCAATTTTAAAAATTTTCAGTCAGGACCTCACTATAGAGTCAAACGAAATAATTGTTAATCACCTTATAAAAAAGTTTATACTGTTAAGGAATTAACTCATTGATTTTTTCTGAATTTAGTATTAGACACACCTTCACATGTGAAACTTAAATTCATTTTTCATATAAAATGTGTACAGTTTTTATTAACAGTTATCGAAGAGACTTGAACTCCTTAATTCTTTTGCTTAGATAGGAGTTAAATGATACTATATTAACTGCTATATTTTTATTTGTTTAAATTTAGTCCAATGGAATAACAGCCCAGTGGCTATAGAATTCCAGATTATAATGACGTTTCAATCACATTGGTAAAAATTAAATGGTTTGGAACATGTGTTATTTTCTTCAAAATATTAAGGCCCGTTTGGGAGTAATTTTTCACCCCAAAAAATTAATTTTTTAATCATTATCTCATTATTTTAGTCGTAGCTTTTGACTTCTTCTCTTACATGGGGCCCTCACTTTTCTCTTAACGGTCAAAAAATCAATTCTCAAAATCACTACCAAATAGGCCCTAATTAAATGGTATAGATTTCGAAACATTCTTAAAAAAGGATTTTATATTATAAAGAATAAAACATAATGATATTCCTGCTTGAAATTTCACACCATACTCAAACAAAAAAGTGATTAGATCCACAAAATGAAGCAAAGTATACTCAATTTTTTTATTTTTTTTTATTTTTATAAGCTGAATTAAGATCTTGACGTAATGATGATAAAACACAGTAGAAAACAATTTTTTTTAAGGGTAATTGGCACAAAACGTCCCTACCTTTAAGGTTTATTGTGGAAAACGTCCATACCCTTCATTTTTTGACGTTTTTGTCCTTATTTTCACATTTCATTGCAAAAAACGTCATTTTCACCCCCTTTTAATGTAAAATGATCAAAATACCCTCCTATTTAAATAAAATCCAAAAATAAAGAAAAGAAAAATAAAGAATAAATTACAATTTTAATCCTAAATATTTTAAAAAGTACAAGTCCAAATAATTATTAGAAGGCCTTATAGTACAAAACGTTCATATATTTGGTTTATAGTGTGAAAAACATCCTTACGTTTCAAATTGGTGAAAGTGATGTTTTTCGCAATGAAACGTGAAAATATGGATAAAAACGCAAAAAAAAAAAAATGAAAAGTTGGGATGTTTTTTCTGTAAGAAGTGTCAAACATAGGGATTTTTTTACTATTAGGCTTTATTAAAATATTAAAAATAACAAAAACTCTCTCTCTCTCTCTCTCTCTCTCTCTCTCTCTCTCTCTCTCTCTCTCTCCCCTCTTCTTTTCCAAATGGGACAACCGAAGTGAAAAAACTCCGATCAACCATCACCCAAATCGCCGAACCATTTGTTGATATTTTAAGACCACGAAAAGAGACGTCCTAGTGAGTATAGTTGATTGGTATGTTGGAAAATGGAATGGGTCTCACGGAACAAGTTACGCCTCCAGTATTTGCATTTGTGAGTTGGTTATTTTGGCTTGCAATTTCGAACAAATCTATTGACATGAAGGTTGGATGTTATGTGTAGAGGGAAGTGAGGGCTTTTCGGTGGTATGGCGGTCTAGCAGTCTAACTAGTGGTTTGCTGGAGTTTTTTGGCGTCTAAGGTGGCTGACCTATTTTGGAGAAGAGAGAGCGAGAGAGGGAGAGAGAGTTTTTTGTTATTTTTAACACTTTAATACGGCCTAATAGCAAAAAAATCCCCACGTTTCAAATTTTTTTGCATTTTCATCCTTATTTTCATGTTTCATTGCAGAAAATGTCATTTTTCACCAATTTAAAATGTAGAGACATTTTCACACTATAGGCCAAACGTAGGGACGTTTTGTGCTATTAGACATTTTAATAATTATTTAGACTCACATGTACTTTTTAAAACATTTAGGATTAAAATTGTAATTTATTCTATATTTATTCTTTTATTGTTTTGTTTTATTTAAATGGGAAGGTTTATTGGTCATTTTACATTAAAAAATGATGAAAATGACGTTTTTCACAAAGAAATGTGGAAATAAGGGCAAAAAGGTCAAAAAATGAAAGGGGGGACGTTTTCTGCAATAATCATTAAATGTAAGGACGTTTTATAATAATTATCTGTCATTTTTATTAATTATTTTTTTTCTTTTTCTCATTATTTTTTAATAAATGGGCAATATTTCACTTAAATCATTGAACTTTTAACAAGATTTCATTTTGGTTGCTACATTTTAATCAAAATTTTACTTTGCTCACTGGACTTTTATTTGTAACTACACATTAATTATTTTTGCAGCAGCAATATTTGACAGTGGTGGTGGTGACCATGAAAAAGTTCTTTAAAATATTTTTTCTTACCTTTTTTTTCTTTTTTTCTTTTCTTACTTAGGTGGATGCCACTCCATTTTTCTTTGCTTTTTATTTTATATTTCTACTTGTATTTTTTTATAAACTAAAAACAAGGGCATTTTAGTTTTTTTTTTAATTATATAAATGACTTTTTAAAAATTAAATGGGTGGAAAAGGTGTAAAGGACCATTCATGCACAAACCCGATATGTTGAGGGAGTCATACCAATAATAAAAGAATCGGGGCTATTTGCAAGTAAGGGCCATATGTTAGGCACGTTTGCCCCAATTCCCCAATTTAAATTTTAAATTTTAACTTAAAAGACATCAATAATTTAGTGGGCAAAATAGCCTGAGGACTCCCTAGTATTTCACTTGCCTAAAGATTTTAAGTAAAAATCTTCTAATGAGCATTCTTTTACAATTTTTCTAGTTTTCATTAATGAAATGATATTATTTTATAAAAAGTATCATATAGGCAAAATTTATGATTCTTTAACCCACCCTCCACCAAGATCCAATGAGTTTAGAGTACTCTTACCATACTTTATTACTATGAAATTGAAGTGCACATGGGAGGAGCAGGAAAAGCCTCATCTCCTTGGAGAAATCAATGAGTTATTGCACACTTAAAGTTCCGCCTCATGCCCAATAGTACGATTATCTATCATTAAGTTTGATTTAGCGCTTCTGCAATTCTACTTTTGAGGTACGTACGAATGCCATAAAATCCACATAAAGCGATAAGAAAATCCCAAATTTGAATTGCCTTGCGAACATTTATCAGCCTTTAGCTTCACCCAATCTCCCTATGTTTTGCTCCATTTTGAACAATAAGTGTTCGGGTTTGGAAAGCCTATGACCATGCTCCATTTATCAATTATTTTAAATTGAGAAATTTTTAAGTTCATTTTCCTTGTTTCGAATTTTTTGAGTTTTTCACTGAAAACACTTATAACGTCAAAAAGTCTTTTTGAGTGTTATGTTATAAAATATTCCTTGTTTTTGAAAACTCATTTCTGAAAATAACATACCAAACACATTTTCAGTGTTTTAGAAGATGAAAAATTGAAAATAATCTCAAAATGACAAATCAAATGCACTCTAAAATTTTTTAAGAGGGATAAAGGCTATGCTCTTTGACGTATTGGGGAAAAGCTAAAGATATTCTTTCTCAAATATGTACAACATTGAAGGAACCTTCAAAAGAGTTTTCAATCCCTTGTACAATAAATTTCTTGACAACTAATGCTTGTTTAAGATTAAATTTGGTGTCACATCAATTCTACAATAATGTATTGGCATCATATGACTTGTCATGAATAAATTCTTTTAAGTCAATACTTGTATTAAGTGTCTATTTATTAGGACTTTTGAAAAGTAAAAAATAGTTTTTAGACATGTTTGAATCATTTTTTGAAATTAATTTGTATGATTAGAAAGTTTTTTAAAGAAATTTGGCTTAAGATAATTTTTTCAAAAAGTTCTTCCATATGAATTAGAACTAAAATAAAAATTCTACCAAACCCTAAATATCAAGTAGACTTTGGATGTCATAAATAATCTCTATTCAGTGACATGTGGTCACTTTATTGAATAAGTGATATAAGGAAAGTATATGAACGTTTATCGATACAAGCTTCTACAACATAATATATATTTCAAAATTTTATTTCGGTTTTTCTTGAAGTGACATGTTTCGAACTTTCAAATGTATAATCAATCAACAAATTAATTCTATGTAATTACTCTTTAAAATTGCTTGGACGTGTCACAACTACCAAATTAATATTACACCAAATCAAATAGTAATTAATAATTACGTGTCCATTATTCATTTTGGATAGGTAAAGTCTTTAATGATGTCGCAATTGATTATAAAAGAAAGCTAGTAAACAACAAACTTACCCAACCCCATTCACTAACAAAGAAGTGACACATAATAGACAAGTAGACTAGGTTTAAGAATAAATAACCAATTGGAACATTATTTATGGCCCATTTTAATTGAACCTTCAGCTAATCACATGATGGGTCGACACATCAAAAGGTATGGACCATGTGCTGTCCATTATTCCAAACGTGGGACCCATAATTTGGTTTCACCGAAGTTGATCTCCTCTCTTTTGAATTACTGACAAATTCTGACATCAAGATCAGATAAGAAGTAATTCCTAGGATAAAGAAGAAAATTCTAGAACCATTCAATACTCAATAGTATTTGGAAATAAGAATATCTTCTAATGTTTAACCAAAAATTTTTAAAAATAATTAATTAGAAAACTGGGATTTGTCAAAACAGAGCAAAAATTGGCCAGCTCACTTCAAATATTTATATTTTTAAAAATATCCTTTCACCGTCAATTTTCGATTGTGATGCTCAAGTTAACTTTAAAACATCGAGTTTCATCAACTTAGTAAAAATTAGACATGATCGATAGGTTCCAATTAAAAACTTGAATATTTGAATAAAAATTGGATCAAACATATCGAGCGTACCAGGACAATGTTGATTTAGAGCTCTTGAAAGGGCTTATTTGCCACTTCTTCATAGTTGTAGTGCCAATTATTTATTTTTACCACTTATATTTTAATGTGTGGGAAAGGATAATAAAGATACGGTGAAAAGAATTTATTATGTAAAAGATCATTTCAATCATGTCTTGATGTGATCTTTCTGATTTATTGACTCTAATAAAAATTCTTATTTATAATATATAAATCATTTACTACTTTTTTAATCAATTATTTTTTACGGCATAAATCAAATTTTTAGAAAATTTTCATAAATGTTAATAAAATGTGTAGTTGAAGAGTTGGGAAACATCATAAAAAGTATTGCTAAAATTAAATATTGACTTTAACTTAAAATTTTAATCAATATCATAAAATTAATATTAAAGAATCAAACTTTAGGCAGCCACATCTACACTTAAGGATGCTTCTTAG